GTTATCAATTGGCACCCGCGCGTTCATCATAAATTTCAAACAGCTATAACTCAGCGAGATTATGTCTGTTCTAGCTCATATTTTCACACCAAATAGAAAATGATGTGATCTTATTGCTGACAACATATGAATATGATTTCTTTATTTGCCTTAGAGTAATAGACTGTCAAAGTTTAAAACGCGCATTGGTATAGCACGTGACTAATAAGGCCAAATCTATATTTCTTAACATGTTATCGATCCTTAGACATCATACTATTAAATTGTGTCCAATTAGCGGTTAGGTCTCTAAACTCGTAGCAGAAAACACGCCTTTTTGCCCGTAAGAGCCTCTACTAAAATGCAAAGAATTGACATCGTATCGTGAATCAATCAAATATTTACACAATTTAAAATTAATTTTCAAAACACGTTTAGTTCAGGGATGAAGTTAAAAACAACTACAATAAACCAAGGGGTTTTGCACTTTTTTGTTATCTTCTTGCCTATATAACCACGTAGGGCAATAAAAGTCGTTCCAAACCTTGCGAATCTTTTTTAGCAAAACAATATTTTTATTAAAACAAAATTTATACTTAGCTATAAGCGCGCGCCGCGCCTATATAAAACGGTAAACTTAAAATATTGTCAAGTGTCAAGATAAACAAGTTTTGCGAAATAATTTAGCATGCTGTCTTTGTAAGATATTACAATTGTACCTGTGCCAGTTCTGGGTGTGATGTGATGTATTCTCTTCCTCGTATGCCTTACATGTATTATTAAGTCGCTTTTATGTATTCCTACGTCGATCATTCTTCTTTCTATGAGGTACTCTATCTGTTGACTAACCTATTGTGAATGTGAGAAATACAGCCAGGGTGAAGGTAGCCCTCCACTTTCAAAACTCTCCACGTATTTATCATTGTTCTCGTTCTCTTCGTAGAATTCTTGGAGAGTCTTCGTATTGCTTGATCAGCAATTAGGATATGAAATCCTCATTTGAAGGAATGTCATATCAAGGTTACCTTTGTCTACCTTCTGTAGCTGAGGTTCAAATTTCATATCATAACATACCTCTCGCAGGAGATGAACCATTGTGCACTGGAAGAAAACTGAGAAAATTCAAACGATGGGAAAATTCAAACGATAAGCCATTGTGTCAATGATGTTATTGTGGGTTATCACAACGTAGCCCCCTAGCTAACATGTAAAGAGGTGGTCACTTGTTTTTCCACATCCCAGTCTTTCCTTTCGTTAATAATCAGGTTACTAGCTTGTTGTTTCTTTGTTGCTGCTTTCTTTTTCCATGTGCTATAATCAGTAGTGTCGTCTAAAACTGGTATCTCGCGATGACTCATAGTAGACATCATGGGGTAGGGATGAGGTTGTAAGAGTCTTTTGATAAGAGGGTTCTCATATTTTTTGTCCATTTTCTTGCCTCTAGATCTGTAGCCTCATAGAGGCTAGATATAGAAGTAGAGCAATGAGCCTTGTTCTTTACATTGCGAATCTTATTCTTGTCCTCACTTGCCTTACCACGTTGCAATATCTCTTTTCTTTTCATGGCTCACAGGTCCGCTAATCTTTGGATTTGGACATGCCTCCAGATGTGAGAAATACAGTCGGGGTGAAGGTGGCCTTCTCCACATTCAACACTCTCTCCAAGTAGCCATCCTTCTTCTCCTCGTTCTCTTCATATATGTCTTGAAGAGTTTTTATGCTGTTTGATTTAAGCAATTTGGGTGTGGAACCCTTATGTCAAGAAAGTTCTTATCAAATGGACTCCATACTCTTGTGAACACATCCTGTAACTCAATCAAATCAAGGCTAAACCGATCTCTTCTAGATACCCAAAGCAGGTTCGATAATGAGTGGCATAATGACAACTTTAACAGTTTTGGACCATGCTAGATTATTGATAAAAACGTGGAATTTATGTAAACAAATACTTAATTACTTAAATATTGCCGTTTCCGTACGGCGCTATACGTAATATATGTTAAAAGCGCGCCGCAGCTACTCCCTACCTCAACATTTGCGCGGGTTTCTTAAGCGCGCACGTACGTTTATTCTTGGCCGTTAATCAGACCCATGACATAACGCTATAGGTGGCAGTGACTGTAATTTTCTTCAACAATTACTGAATTATCCATCCATAAAATGATTTACAAAATGACACCCAAACCTCGTGTTTCGGTGTTCACTTAAACGGTACTTGGCGGCTGAACTGTGGTGTCTGACGTTTGCAGCTAGATCGGACTCTGCATGATATTGTATTAGCAAATTTGTATAATGTATAATTGTTTAGTGTTTATAATACTCTGCAACCTGGTAGCACGGCTGACACAAAAACAAAATGTTGGCCTGGCTTGTGCATAACCAAGTAAATAACACGCACTCCGATAAAAGCCGTCTGGAGAAACTCCGCAAAATGTTCATTGTAGTCAACGGGCACAAAGAAGCACTACTAGCAATTGTGTCCTTTACCCTCCTACATAATTTGAACATTTTTGTGGCTAACTCATTGAACAACATCTGAATTAAAATGTGTCTAGTATTAAAAGATTCAGTAAGTAATTTTTTCATGTACGCTGTACACTGTAGTTAGTAAATCAAATCAAACTTTTTCGATCAGCCGCGCGCTGAACCAGTGTTGCACTAGGTAAAAATTGTGTATATTTTGTTCATTTTTGAGTGTAAATTAATTTATTAATTTATCACAAATTATTTTATTATAATATAACCACTTATGTGAAATGGTTATTTTGACTTTAAATATTTGAACTAAATATGAATTGATTGTGGGTATAAAATAAAATTTGTTTTACTAAAATTTGTTTTACTCTAGCAGATACATCAAGCTGAGCTTGGTCACAATGTGACCATGTTATAGTCTTAGGGTTGAGAAAGTCACCCTCATTTACCTTCTGTAGCTGGAGTTCAACTTTCACATCATGACATACCTCACTCAGGAGATTCGCCATTGTGTCTCTGATGTTGTGGGTCATGGGGACTAAGTAAAACAAAATTTTAAGTAAAACAAAATTTCCATACAGCCGTAGACTGGATATCCTCAATTTGACAACGCTGGCAGAGCGGCGAATACGTGGGGACCTTATTGAAGCTTTTAAAGTAACTAGTGGTTTGACTGAATATGGATCGGGTTTGTTCAGAATGAGCAGATCTGGTCTTAATCTAGTTTCAACCAATAGGTGTAGTAAGAGTGTAACTAAAGTTAAGAATCTTCAGTCTTCTTTTCTTCCGGAGCGAGTCATTCCTTACTGGAACAAACTCCCTTCAGATGTCAAGAACTGCTTAACAGTTTTAAGCTTTAAAGTTAGGTTGGAAGGATTTAAGAAAGAAATGATTTCTAAAAACAGTGTAAATGATTTTTATTTTTGGAATGTTTCGAACGAAGTTTTAGGGAAAATTGAAGGACACAGTTATTTAAGCAATAAGGAGACACATAATGAATATCTTTGGTTTCATCCTTTTGTGGCAAAGAAAAGTTTTATAAATCTTTATTCCACTGGGAAGTTTTAATTAATTATTTATATATAATGCATTAGATTTTATTAATTAATAAAATTGAATTTAATAAATTATTAATGTTGATGGAAGAATATATCTATTTGAATTATTTTTCTATTTAGTGCAATGATATTTTTTTAGACACTTGTGATGATGTAATGTCATAATCTTTACTTACTTACTTACTTACTAAATTTTATTGCCATTACAATGAATAATGATATCATAATAAATATAAGTAGACATCCGATAATAAACTTGTTACATCCAGTACAACCCAAGATGTCAGCCGACTGGGGGTCAGTAGCCCCCTAGCTAACAGATGAGAAGGTGGTCAAGATCACTTGTTTTCCCATACCCGCAGGCGATGGGAGTGTTTGGTATCCACCATCTGTAGCGTAGGCAGACACTGTCAAGAAACTCCCAACTCGAGATTCCACAAGGAGATCGATTACATAATACTACAGGGTGGGCCAAAAGTCAGTACCCATATGTTGGCCTTAATAGCTCAGTCACTGAGTGCCCAATTGAAATAATTCTTTCTGGTATGACTTACTACCACCACTGGTTCAAGGAATTTGTCAAATCGAAAAATATTCGTGTTCATTAAAAAAATTAAGGTTCATTTCCCATTTATTTGATAGTTTGGACAGTCGGATCGAGCCAACTTTTATTGAGTTGTGTTAGGCCATTCGAATTACGTTTGACCTGAAAAATTTAGAGTTGTAGCTTCTCAGATGACCGAGATACGAAGCATAACGAGTTTATTCATTACATGTGATCAGGTGATTGGCTTACCTAATCACGTGATGAGGTGACCCCGTTAACCGCCCCGTTAAACATTATGGGAATCGCTGAGGCTGCCCAATTAAGGTGTCGTGTCATGGTGTCACATAATCACCCAGTCAATTTTGTTAACGAGATAAACAAAATGCTTGATAACTTCGTCATTTCAAATCCGTTTCACATAATTTTTTCAAATCAGATGCAACATTTAATAATCTACTGTCTCTAAAAAAATTAGCATCCAGCATGTTCAGAGAGAACAATATAGGTGTTTCAATATTGAATGGGCGTGGTTTAAAATATTCGAATTTTCAAATTTTGGCGACGAAATCCTCGAACAGGTAGGTACAGTATGCCATCTGCAAAGCAACAACTCCCAAATGTAAAACACAGCGGAGGTATAAGACCCAACGTATGGGTACTGACTTTTGGCCCACCCTGTATTTTTAGACATGATTTGATGCGTATTCAAATTGTCAGTTACACATACTCAATCGAGAGGAGTACTTAAAAAATCATTCAATTATGACTAATTATAGCATAGATTCCTATGATATTTTAGCTGAGCACAGGGCGTGTATTATTGTGAAATTTGTTCGTTGCTACCAAAAAATAAACGAAATCCTTAAATTAATGGTTAAAATTTATTAGTTTATTGAACAGATCTATGTAAGTTGTTAATAACAACTGCTATTTTTAGAATGATCACATAGATACTTAAGTTCCATCCGAAGGGCCAAGCCAAGAGATTGCTTCCGATAAATTAAGGACAAGTTGTACATATCACAGTTTTACTCTACACCTTAAAAGAACAAGAGGTGAGACAGTCGTAATACTGCAGTAATTTTTGGTGCAGCTAATTATTGAGGAACTATTCGTTTGGCAATATGTTGTTTGTTGCTGCTAATTCAAGTGTCTACTTTTGCTTAAGTGATTGTCAGCTGTAACCTTTGGTGGTAACTGTCACTGCAACTCGTAAACAATGTGACATAGCTGGGATTCCTAAATTTAAAACCATATTTACCTCCTGTAGCTGTGTACACCTAAAGTTACCTCCCATTCTATTTCCCCAAATTAAATTTGGTCCAGCTGTATTGTTGTTTATAAAGTTATAAGTTTCATTATTACATTGTACCTCTTCAATAATCTTTTGACCATATTGTCTCATTACGATACAACTTAAAGAGTTATAAATCGAATTGTCTCATGAAATTGTGTAAATTTCTAGAAGGTTAACTTAGTGTTGCTTCAGGAAAGAAAATGGCAAGAACGAAGAAAATACCTGACAGAGGAAAAGAAAAGAAAAGCAAAAGTAAGAACGTTATTGAAAATACCACCAAAAAAAGGATAAAAGATCGTGTCTTCAGAGAAATAGTGAAGTACCAAAAATCTGTAGATCATCTCATTCCTCGTGCTCCATTTTCTAGACTTGTCAGGACTGTCCTCCAGCGAATAGTTGAAGATGGTGGATCAGCATTCAAGAACAGGGATTTCAGGGTAACAAAGGAATGCCTGATATGCCTCCATGAGGCTAGTGAAATTTACATGACGGTTTACTTTGAAGATTTGAATCTCTTAGCACAACATGCCAAAAGAGTGACTATCATGACAAAGGACATTGAAATTCTGAAGAATTTAAAAAGATCAAATCCTCATGGCCTCCTATCATGATCTGATTTCGATGATCATTTTATATTGATCAAAATTCCTGCCCAGCTCCCAATTAACAACAGATACCTGTAAACAGATGAATTATTTACACATTCCACTTCAAGAAGTCTATTTATGCTCAAGTGAACACATATTCGGTTTAAAGAGTATCAGAACTTATTCGTTTTCAATTTGAGCGGAAGCTCTAACCTCTAGTGAGTCAAGGCCGCCAAGTTGAGATATCAAGCAAAAATGTGCACTCAATTAACCCATACAGTAGAAGTTAATTGTGTAAGTTGTTAACAGAACTGCTATTTTTATAATGATCAGACAGATACTTTAGTTCCATCCGAAGGGCCAAGCCAAGAGATTGCTTCCGATAAATTAAGGACAAGTTGTACATATCACAGTTTTACTCTACACCTTAAAAGAACAAGAGGTGAGACAGTCGTAATACTGCAGTAATTTTTGGTGCAGCTAATTATTGAGGAACTATTCTTTTGGTAATATGTTGTTTGTTGATGCTAATTCAAGTGTTTACCTTTGCTTGTTGTTTATAAGTTTCGTTATTATATTGTACCTCTTCAATGATCTTTTGAGTTTTGACCATATTATCTCATTACGATACAACTTAAGATTTATAAATCGAATTGTCTCATGAAAGTGTTTACCTTTGCTTAAGTGATTGTCAGCTGTAACCTTTGGTGGTAACTGACACTGTACCTCGTAAACAATGTGATATAGCTGGGATTCAAATATTGAAAACCATTATATTTACCTCCAGTGTACACCTAAATTAACCTCCCATTTTATTTCCCCCAAAGTAAATTTGGTCCAGCTGTATTGTTTTTTATAAGTTTGATTATTATATTGTACCTCTTCAATAATCTTTTGACCATATTATCTCATTACGATGCAACTTAAAGAGTTATAAATCGAATTGTCTCATGAAATTGGGTACATTTATAGAAGGGTAACTTAGTGTTGCTTCAGGAAAGAAAATGGCAAGAACGAAGAAAATACCTGACAGAGGAAAAGAAAAGAAAAGCAAAAGTAAGAACGTTATTGAAAATACCACCAAAAAAAGGATGAAAGATCGTGTCTTCAGAGAAATAGTGAAGTACCAACAATCTGTACATCATCTCATTCCTCGTGCTCCCTTTTCCAGATTTGTCAGGACTGTACTACAGCGAATAGTTGAAGATGGTGGATCAGCATTCAGGAACAGGGATTTCAGGGTAACAAAGGAATGCCTGATATGCCTCCATGAGGCTAGTGAAATTTACATGACGATTTACTTTGAAGATTTGAATCTCTTGGCATCTCATGCCAAAAGAGTAACTGTCATGACAAAGGACATTGAAAGTCTGAAGCATTTAAAAAGATCAAATCCTCATGGCCTCCTATCATGATCTGATTTGGATGATCATTTTATATTGATCAAAATTCCTGCCCAACTGCAGCTCCCAATTAACAACAGATACCTGTAAACAGATGAATTATTTACACATAACATTCCACTTCAAGAAGTCTATTTATGCTCAAGTGAACACATATTCGGTTTAAAGAGTATCAGAACTTATTAATTTTCAAATTTGCAAGTGATCTCTGAAAGTTGAAACTTGACAATTCAGCTTAGTCTCTCCCTCAACAGATTTGACAGTACAAAGAAAAAATGAAAATTGAAAAAAGGAAATTGTATACAAGTTATTATTACATTAATGTGAAATTTTCAAAAATGTAAATAATGTGTAACGATTTTAATTTAAGCCATGTTCCGGGAAAATAAATTTGTAGGCAGTGCATGATATGAACACTATTCAGAATCCGCATAGTGTTCATATCATGCATTGCAGATGGGTATTTTGAGGTTAAAACTATTTGCAACTTCAATACACCACTTTTTTGTTAATTTTGAGTCGACTCTTTACTGAGAATATTTAAATCTGTATTTATTTTTAACCATATTTGAATAAAGTATTTTGTAATATAGCAATTCGTGACATTTTCAAGTTAACAAATAAACAAGTTGCAAGTGTTGTTTCTACATATCTCATCATTTAATGACATAATATCTTTGATTTCACTCAGAAAATTGGATGACACCAAAATGAATACAACTATTAAATTACTGAAATGTAAATCAGGTTTTTGTCAATATTGTTTCATATGTCTGATGATATAAATATTTAAGGGAGATCATGTCGGAAACCAAACAAGAACCCGTCGCACAATTCAAGGTATGTACAGATTGATCCGAAATTCTGGCTAATGGCTATCATTGTTTTTTTAAAGAAGTTTCTTGACGTTGAAAATGTTGATGGTGGATTTTGAGTTGTGGAGGTCGCCATCATCACCATGACAACCACAGCTCAGTTTAAACTTTAGGTTATCAACAGTTCAATTAACTACCGTTCAAAATATTCGGGGAATTGTGTACTTGACTAATTAATTAAGCACTTAATAGGGATTATAAAACCTTGAGGCAGTTTCTAATGTCAAAGAATGACCATTAAAATAATTTCAGCTGGTGTTGGTGGGTGATGGTGGTACTGGAAAGACAACATTTGTCAAACGTCATTTAACGGGAGAGTTTGAGAAGAAATACGTTGGTAAGTTGTATATTTCCATTCACTTGTCACTGTATGCTGAGTACTGACATTACCTGTTAGACGGCTTTTCAGTGTGATAAAAAGCCAGTTTAAACAGTTTCTACTTGAAATCGTACTGTTGCAATGAAGTAGAGCAGAAGATGCCAGCAATTTCAATTCAGTTTGTGTATATATTATGGATTCAGTTGAAAAGGGGAGGAAATTTATCATGATTTCAAAAACTGGCTTTTCCAAAACTGTATACTTAAGATCTGCCACTACTTTTCATAGCCATGTATAACAAATTTCCCTTGGTGTGTTCCTGAGGTCACTTATGAATAGCAAATAGCTAATGGGATACATTTTTTGAAATTCAGTTGGGATCTTGTAATTGAGAACGTGAAAAAAGTGCGCTTTTACAAATTTTCCGTTTTCATAGCCACGTTAAAGTTTTAACGTTTGTGTTTTGATACATTTTGCAATACTTAGTACACAAAATGTACATCGTTCTAAAATCGGGTCGAAGTTCGCAGGTGACGATCTTCTGACTCCAGTACAAAAGCGCGCCAAAATGTGGCGCGCTTCGTTTTACCCCCGAAAATTGGGTCCTTTTTCGGCACTCTCGATTCGTGATGACGCGCGCTAAAAATGTTAATCCTATACGCTTTGTGCGTGCGAACGACCGGTTCAATCCACTCCAAGCCAGTGGATCCTCCGTATCTCAAATTCATAAAAGTTTCGTGTCAAACAACCCTGTTTTGAAATTGTTCCGACGTTTACTCTACGCCCATTATTATTACATACGGAGGTCAAACATTGACCTTTATTGCCATTTTATTAGCCGCTCTCGCATTCATGTAATAAAGGCGGGAAATACTTAGTGTAATAAAATGTATAGACCGTATGTGTGGCTGTAATATTGTAACACGTATATTTTCAGCAACCCTCGGTGTTGAAGTACATCCACTGGTGTTCTATACTAACTTCGGGCCCATCAGGTCTGCAATTCGTTAGAAATTTCCAATACCATCTGTTCTCATTTATTTGAGTATTCAGTTAATTGACTGTTATATAATGCTTTTCCACTCGAATGTTATGAAACATCACTTTCGGGAATAAGACAATAATTTATTTTGCGACTAATGATTGATTGGTTTCGAATTTCAATACACAAAATCAATTTAGATAACGTAAATACGAGACTTATTTATTGAACGAATGTGTCGTGTTTTTCAGATTCAACGTGTGGGACACAGCCGGCCAAGAAAAATTTGGAGGTCTCCGTGACGGTTACTATATCGGAGGACAGTGTGCTATCATCTTCTTCGATGTCACGTCTCGTGTCACGTACAAAAATGTGCCTAGTTGGCACAGGGACTTGGTCAGAGTACTGGAGAACGTGCCCATTGTCCTTTGTGGAAACAAAGTCGATATCAAGGACAGGAAAGTGAAGGCTAAACAGATTACATTCCACCGAAAGAAGAATCTTCAGGTATGGTGTTTAGCTGCGTAATATCATACTAGAAATACTTTTAATTTCCTTCACCTCTTAAATGTTTAGTTCTCTAAACCCTACTCGAGTATAAGATATAATTTTGTAACCTGAGGTTGCAGGAGTTACCTGGGGACAGGCTGAGCGCCGCCCAGTAATGGGGGGGGGGGGGGGGGGGGGGGGGGGGTATGCAACGACCATTAATGTCAGTAGATGGAATTTTGTCAAAACTGACATTGTCATTAATGGTCATTAATGGTCATTAAATAATTGAAATTCTGAACTATCTTGGAAGCAACATGTCCAAGAAATTTACAATTATGATCACTTTGTATCACTTCTATGAAGTTTCTCACAGCCCCCTACATCGATTGCCAGAGTCTCGTTTGAGAAAACGAATTAATATTCGCCTAATAGAGGCTCGGACCTCGGTTTCGGAATGAGTGCCAAGCACCATTCTGTTATACGTTGGTAACTTGTCTTGTCTGTTTGCTTGTTTGCATTTGACTTGGTATAAATGCTTGTTTGCAGTTGACTTAGTATAAATGCTTGTTTACAGTTGACTTAGTATAAATGCTTGTTTGCAGTTGACTTAGTATACATGCTTGTTTGCAGTTTGCGTGGATTTGAATTGTATTGATTTCCTTTATTTGTGTTGATTGCTTTTGATAATTTGGATTTTCAATACCTCCTCACAGTACCTTCTATGTCATCGTAAGACGATATTTGGAAATAAAAGTCGGAGATAGAAATTTTTGGTACCGGCTGTTTCGAGGGTTCTGTGCCATACCAACCGGGCTGCAAAACTTCTTCTAAGCCCTGTCAACGTCGAACAATTCGAAAGGGCGACTCATTAAGTGCTACCTTTGTTCCAAAAAATGCTAAACGTCCCCTTCGTTGCCTCGGTACCATCTTATCAATGAGTGTCTCTGCTTCAAAAAAGGGCAACTTCAGATCTAGACGAATTCCTGCCGCATCAATTTGTCCCTATCATGATGACAGTGCTCGATTTTGGGTCAAAACTTTAAACTGCCAAAGGCAGAGTATTGAACTGTAAACGAATTGTTCTATCTAATCCTAGGAAAAGATCAGCTTTTTTGTTGTCCGATTCAGACTGATGACGATGTATTTCATGAAGTGCTAAAGTTGAATAAGTTCATCTACTGTGTAATTACTATATAATCGAGTAGCATAATGATTTGGCTAAAATATAAATCTTGATATGATATAAGAACGGGAACGAAGTATTTAATTTTAATACCCGTGTTATTATTATTTTATTATTGATTGTTATTTTACTATTGATACGATCTGATACTCCTAAATTGCCCTTTGAATTATTATTATTGATAACTATTATAAGTCACCAACTGTTATCTGGTTTAAATCCCGTGGCCGCAAAATTTGTTCTTCATTACATTCGAACTTAATAAATGTAATCCCTAACTCACTCTAGAATCCACTCAAGTGATATTCTGGAAGGTCTGCCTAACCACGGAAGATTCTATTCTAAGTTTTCTCTTTCGAATCTCTAATTGTAAATGTAAAATAATAACATATACTTGTAGTTAGTTAACTTAAGGTAGGGTCTAAGTGATGCAGGCGTCCGTCCTTTTCGCTCTAAGAAGTGCCGGAAAAAACATGACCATTAATGTCAGTAGATGAAATTTTGACAAAACTGACATTGTCATTAATGGTCATTAATGGTCGTTGCATACCCCCCCCCCCCCCCCCCCCCCCCCAGTAATGCATGAGTTGCAAGATAACGTAATTCTATTTCAGTACTATGACATCAGTGCCAAATCTAACTACAATTTCGAGAAACCATTCCTTTGGTTAGCCCGAAAGATTACGGGCGAGGCAGGATTACAGTTTGTTGAAGCACCCGCTCTGGCTCCCCCAGAGGTCAAAGTCGATCCTCATCTCATGGCTCAGGTATGTATTTCAGATGTCCACCTAATTTGTTAATTTTAATTCTACGAACGCGAAGATTGAAGCGATCTGCACTGATTTATTTGATCCCACTCAAGTCCATACGGACTTGTTGTATTGTTTGTTGAATAAGGACCCATCCTTTGTCCTAAAATGAATTACTTGTTGCTAATACTTAGGTGATTATAAATAAAGTGGCGGTAATCTAAGAAAAAACCTTAAATTATTCATTACTTCATTCACAGTACGAACAAGATTTGGATAACGCGGCGAACATGGCCCTTCCCGACGATGACGACGATGACGACTTGTAGAGAGAGTATGAGGAAGGCTTTAGACTTGATTAGTCAGTCTTAAATGACATTCAATTAGTCTGGATATTCCATTTGCAGTTTAGAATTGCCGAACTGGATGTGATCTTGCTCTTTAGTAGTGTTTTTAAAATGTGTTTCCTTTTGGGCTAATCTAATTCGATCTTGGGAAAGGGAGATCGAAGTTAGAAATTCTTTTTTGAATTTTTGAATCTGTCAAAACATTTGAATAAGCCTCAGAACCCGGCTAGAATTTCAAAATAAGAGGGTAAACACCCGTATTTGATTTTTAGTTCAGTATCGCCCAAAATATTTATAAAATTAAAACTATGAGCCGGACTGTTTTATTTTATTTATATTTTTAATTTGCCATTAGATTGAGGGTATTTTTCGTTTATCAGTAGGGGGATGAAAAATTGCTAAGTCGTGAGGTAAATCAATCCGGACATCGTACTTTACCAAAATTCGACAGAATACCACGTCCGTCCGGGGTCCGTCCTAAGGTTGAAGTTTATATACAAAATATGAATTGACGTAAACTGTAAACACCGCACCGAATCGACCACAAATCACATGCACAATTTAATCTGTGTTTAGTGGCGTTTTATTCTGAATGTAGGATAATGATTATATTATTAATCAATATACACTACACTCTTATCACGTTCTTTACTTTACTAACTACTATGACTTT